CGCCCCCGTGAACCCCCCTCGCCAGCGTCTCCAGGGGCCGCCTCCCCCCCCCCCGCCACGGGCCGTGGGTTCCAAATTGCAGTGCGCTGCGGTGGCCCCGTCCCCACCATCCTCCTTCGTCCTTCCCCCGTGAAACACACTGATGGTCCTGTATCTCGACCCCTCCAGGTCTCCTGTGGGCGCATCAGGAGAGCCTGTTTCCTCCTCCCGCCACTAGGGGCATGATGAGTGGAAGAATGGGGATTTCCCTTGGAAAGAGGGGGCGGTGCATCATGGGAGGCCCTGGCCAGGGTGCATCCTGGGAGGTGTAGTCCAGCTGGGGAGCTGGGCCCATAGAGAAGCATGGCAGCAGGGGCCAACTGAACTACAGCTCCCATGAGGCACTGTGGCAGGCTTTCCAAATCAAGCCTTTCCGGGCGCGGGGGAGTTTGTTTTTCAGAAATGGTCATGTTTTGCAAAAAAAAAAAAATTGCTTCATCAAAACCCCAATTTCCCACTGAAAAACCAGTTTAGGTGGGAGGAAATTTGCAACTGGCCCGTCGCTGGGGCTCCCCCACCCACCTCTCCCGGGGCAGGCGTGCGCTGCCAGCCAGGCGTGGTGCAGTTCTGAAAGTTCGTGAACACAGAACGAAAGGGGAGCTGGCCCCAGACAGCGCCCTCCGGAGCAGGAGCCAGTCAGTGCTGGGTGCTGAGGGGAGGGCAAGGAGACTGGTGCCTGGATCTGACCCGTTGGGTCCGTCTGGGGGAGACGTATCAGGTTCTGTCTGCGTGGCTCTCCTAACCGCACCTCCAGAGGGTGAACTCTCCGGCGGTCACCAGTCGGCCCCTTAGCTGCGCCCCCAAAGCAGACATGGATCTGAGATCCCGGCGGGGGAAGGAGCTTGGGATTGCGGGTTCGAATCCCACGCCCCCCTCCTCCACCTCCCTGGGAGCAGCTGAGCAGCCACCACCAGCTTCTGGCAGGGGGCGGGCGGGCGGCTTGCTCTGGGGCTGTGCGCGGCGGGGTTAACCCATGTTAGCCGTGGACCAAACGATCTAGTTTTAAACAGCAAATCGCCCTCTCCTAGCAGAGCTGTCAGAAGGGCTCGGCTCTCACAGCAGGGGCGTAGCATGTTGGAAAATGTGACCCCCCCCGGCCTGGCCTCAAGCAGTCACTGGAGCACATCCGTCCACAGTGACGTGCCCTACGGGACCTCTGCAGAAGGGGCAGAGGCAGAAGCCGGTTGGTACCTAGTGAGGTAGCTGGCCAGGAAATGGTTCTTTGCAAACACCCAGGGATCCACGGGCAGTGGCAGGATGCGATCCTGCCCATAAAGCAGCTCTGATTTCTAAGCCCCGTTCGGGCTAGGAAGAGGCCCTGCTTATGCCCAGAACGTCTATGTCCCAGCACCGAGAGGCGCTCAGCTCCCTTGCTGAGAGGACTCAGAGCTGGCCTAATGGGACCGCTCAAAGCTGCTTGCAGGGCATTGAATTCTCTGTCCCATGGCGTCTTCCAGTGCAGGGCCCCCCCTTCCAGGGGTTATAGTGGACCACAAGTTAAATATGAGTCAGCAGTGTGATGCTGTTGCAAAGAAAGCCACCATGATTCTGGGGTGTATTAACAGGTGTGTTGTGAGCAAGACACGAGAAATCCCTCTTCCGCTCTACTCTGCGCTGGTTAGGCCTCAATTGGAGTGTTGTGTCCAGTTCTGGGCACCGCATTTCAAGAAAGAGGTGGAAAAATTGGAGAGGGTCCAGAGAAGAGCAAGGAGAATGATGAATGGTCTAGAGAACATGAGCTATGAAGGAAGGCTGAAGGAATTGGGTTTGTTTAGTTTAGAAAAGAGAAGACCGAGAGGGGACATGAGAGCAGTTTTCAGGTATCTAAAAGGGTGTTATGAGGAGGGAGCAAACTTGTTCATCTTGGCCTCTGAGGATAGAACAAGAAGCAATGGGCTTAAACCGCAGCAAGGGAGGTTTAGGTTGGACATTAGGAAAAAGTTCTTAACTGTTAGGGTGATGAAACACTGGAATAAATTGCCTAGGGAGGTTGTGGAATCCCCATCTCTGGAGATACGTAAGAGCAGGTTAGATAAATGTCCATCAGGGACGGTCTAGACAGTATTTGGTCCTGCCATGAGGGAGGGGACTAGACTCGATGACCTCTCGAGGTCCCTTCCAGTCCTAGTATTCTATGATTCTATGATTCTTCCCCATCCCTGTGGCTCCGGTGTCTCTTCTCAGCTCTTGCTTCCTCCCCCAGAGGAGCATGTCTGACAACACCTTGGTGGCCATGGATTTCTCGGGCTGCACGGGCCGCGTGATCGAGAACCCCAACGAGGCGCTGACGGTGGCCCTGGAGGAAGCTTATTCGTGGCGGGTGAGTCGGGGCTTCCATGCAGGGCGGGACGTCAGAGGCCAGGCGGGGAAGTGGGCTGCGGCCGGAGGCGGCCTTGCGGCCATGTCTCGTCATCACGCCGCCCGAGCAGCTGCCTGCAGCCGGCTTATCGGCACAGGGCGCGGCACCGGTTTCACTTCAACTGGCTGGCGGAGGCAGTGCGGTGGGAGCTGAGATGACCCGGGCGGTTTTAGAGAGACGAGGCGGGGGAGGTGACATCTTTCACTGGACCAACCTCTGCGGGTGAAAGAGACGAGCTCCTGAGATCCACAGAACTCTTCCTCTAGCCTGGGAGAGGTGCGGTCCCCTCAGCTCAGCTCCATCCGCTGCCAGTAGGATGCAGCGTCCTTGTGCCAGACTGGAATGAAGCTCCTACAGTCGCCCTCGCATCGTGGGTTCCCCCTGCTGCGGCCGGGCTCTTGCCCTGTCTGGGTCTGTCCCAGGCCGTTCACCAGGGTGCTGATTTCTGCTTGGGTTTCCCATGAAAGTAGCATCGCGCCAAGTCCTAATGACAACACTGCCCGGTAACGCCCTGCTCCTTCCTTCCCATGCTGCAGAAGAAGACGAGTCACCGGTACAGTCTGCCAACGCCTGGCCAGGGCTCCCTGCTCAGCACAAGTGAGTGGCGATCCCGCTGCCCTGTTCCCGTTGGCTGAGGGGTGGGTGAGGAGCGGCCCTTCCTAACGGGATTCGGGGCTTGATCGATGGGGAGCCAGAACCGGACGCTGACGGGACACAATGAGCCCAGTTCCTCTGAACCTGGTGTCCGTGCCAAGTGAGCGTGAAACACGAGGGGTGGGTGGTATCTTACACACTCCCTGTGCTAGTGCAGAGGCACAAAGTGGAAGGCAACTGAGATGGGGGCTTGTTCTAAAAGTGAATGTTGAAGGGAACGGCCTTATAGCAAAGGTGTTCAATAAAGACTCATGTTCAGTCCATGGCTCTGCCACAGTCTCCGTGAGTGACCTTGGGCAAGTCACTTGATTGGTCTGTGCCTCAGTTTCCCCTCCTCCCTTTTGTCTGTCTAAAGCATGGAAGCCCTCTGGGCAGGGACTGTCTCGCTCTGTGTCTATGCAGCATCCATCACAAAAGGGCCCTGATCTCAGCTGGGGCCAGTGCGACGTTAATTTATTATTTGTGGTGCGGTAGCACCTAGAAATCGCAGTCACAGACCAGACTCCTTTGGTAGTAGGTGCTGTGCAGAGAAAGAGCAAAGAGACAGTCCCTGCTGCAAAGAGTGTGCCTTTTTTTCTCCTTTTTCCTTTCTCCAATACCCCTTCAGTTTTGCAAACCCCAATTGACCAACTTTCTCTGTGAAAGAGCTGGTAAGAGTCAGATCGAAAAAGCTTCTCTTCCTCCATTTTCTCTTCTCAGCCATCCATCGAACACAGCCATGGTTCCACGGGCGGATCTCGAGGGAAGACACACAGCGATTGATAATCCAGCAGGGATTAGTGGATGGGTATGGACAGACTTCGAACACTGATCATGTGGCTTCTATTAACTCAGAGTAGGCATTAACTTGAGGGACTCCCTGCTGCAGGATGCCAGAGAGGCCAAGTGTTTAGTGAGGTTCCAGAGATGTGTATGCCCGGCGATTTAATCTCCAGGCTCACAATATTTTCCTTAAAGTGTTTCCTTAAAGGCATTTTCCTTAAAGTCCCAGCTCCTGGAGACATGTGACATGAGAATCTCACCTTTATTTTTTAAACAAATAACTTTAAAACCCTCATTTAAAACTATCTAATTATTTTAAAGATAAATCTCATGCTTTTTGTGGCCCGACTCATGATTTTGAATAATTAGAGTTGGCAGGGCTGCTTTTGTGGATAAGCTGAGCACCAGCAGCGATTCTAGAGAGGACAAAATGAGAAAGGAAATTGATCTTCATGCTTTAGGGCACCCATCAGTTTTGGGGTGAGGAGGGAATGTACCCTCCTTAGCACAGGGCTGTGCAGCTAGGCAGGATTTTCTGCCTTATAGTTGTCTCGCACGGCCACTGTGTGGGACAAGCTGGTTGCCAGCCCTCCCTGCAGAAGGTTAGCTCACCCCTGGGGCATGGCATGGATTTCCGTGGCATTCCACAGGTGACTGAAAAGCTCAGCAGCTGCTCTGGGCTGTCCCCCAGGTGGGCAGCGGAGGCTGGGTGGGCAGCAGCCGCACGTTGGTAACAGCTCCCTTTTCTAGGGTGTTCTTGGTGCGGGAAAGCCAGCGGAACCCCAAGGGGTATGTCCTGTCCTTGTGCCACCAACAGAAAGTCAAGCACTATCTCATCCTGCCGGTAAGTGCTCCTCTCCAGCCTCAGCTGCCACAGACGGTGCCTTCCCCGCGGTGCGGGTGGGCATGCTTTACTCACTCAAGCAGCAAACCCATGGGGGAGGCGAGTCAGAGATAGGAAGGGTGTCAAAGGAGCTCCCAGCTCCTCCAGTCCTGGCTTCTCCCAGCAGGAGGCGCTGTGGGGAGCAGGGCAGGGACACCCCCAACCTCCCCCCTGGAACACAACACAACTTTGGGGAGGCTCCCATTCTCTCCGGTGCCACCTCCGGCCAGGAGAGGTCACTTCAGCGTTGGCGCAATAAGTCCGTGGCCTGGTGCGCAAGCAGGGGCCAGGAGAGCTGAGCACGCCCCGGTTTCTCTGCAGAGCGAGGAGGAGGGGCAGCTTTACTTCACCATGGACGACGGCCAGACGCGCTTTGCCGATCTCATCCAGCTGGTGGAGTTTCACCAAATCAACCGGGGCATCCTGCCCTGCAAGCTGAGACATTACTGCACGTGCGTGGCCTTGTGACAGGCTCCCGACGGGCCACGGCCCAGGCACAGCGGGAGCAGGACGAGCCTCAGCTCCAACCTCCGCCCTGCGCCCCACATGGGCCAGGGCAGTGGCGGCCGCGGGACACGGACGTGGCTTGTGCTCCACCCTTGGCGGGGGCGTCCATTGTCGCTCAGCCCCGTCATGTGAGCACCGGCCGGGTGAGAGCCTGGGGTGGCCCCCCGGTCCCCAAGGAGACTGAAGGATCGAAAATCACCGTTCCAAAGGGAGCCCTCGCCCCTCGGCTTCCAAGAGCTCGTGGCTTCACGTATCCTTCCACTCCTGTCTCTCCCTTCCCCATCGCCCTGTATCCTTCCACTTCTGTCTCTCCCTTCCCCATCGCCCTGTATCCTTCTGCTCCCGTCTCTCCCTTCCCCATCGCCCTGTATCCTTCTGCTCCCGTCTCTCCCTTCCCCATCGCCCTGTATCCTTCCGCTCCCGTCTCTCCCTTCCCCATCGCCCTGTATCCTTC